GCTGCACCAGCTCCAGGCCGCTCAGGAAGAGCCGGCTTCGCTCTCGCGCCGCGGCCAGCGCCTCGGCCTCGGCCTCCCGCTCCGAGGACGTCTCCGCCGCCATGCCTTGGGCTCGTCCGGACCCCGGCAGCTACGCTTCCTCCCGCCTCGGAAATCCTCCGGCCTCTTCCGCCACACGACACTGGCCCCGCCCCACTTCCGCCCCGCCCGAGTGCTGCCGCCTAGCGACCTTTCGAAGCTCTGGCTTTCCGGACGCGCCCCTTGGCCCTTCCCGAAGCTCTTCGTCTATCTCCGTGATCACTCAGCAAATTTCGGGCAACAGCTTCTCACTCCGGCCTTCTCCGGAAGCCCGTTGGTGATGCTCAGACTTTGGGAGTCTCCAAGTTGGAGGCTTTTTTGAGAAAAGTCTTTTGTGGACGCTCTGCTCCTTTCTACTAGGGTTCTTTCCTTTCCGTTCCTTTTCTTTCCTTTCCTTCCCGTTTCTTTCCTTTTTCCTCCCCACTCTTCCCTTCCTTTCCCCTCCCCTTCTTCTCCCTCTCTTCCCCTCCGTTCATTCTTTTCCTCTCCGTCCCTTCCTTTCCCCTCTCCTTCTCCTCCCTCTCTTCCCCTCCGTTCATTCTTTTCCTCTCCGTCCCTTCCTTTCCCTTCCCTTCCCTTCCTTTCCTTTCCCTTTAGTTTCCTTTATTTTCCATTCCTCTCCTTTTCCCACTCCTCTCCTTTCTTTTTGCTTCGTTTTTGAGACTGTGTAGCTCAGGTTAGCTTCAAAATCATGGTCTTCCCATTTCAGTCTATGGAAATATACTCTTAAGCCAGAAGGGAGGAAGGGGCTAGGTCAGAGCTCTCTACCCAGATGCCACTGGTGCCTGGCATCAGCGTGTCAGCAAGCCAACACCTTTTCTCTAAGTTCGGTTTCCTCATCTTCAGAATGAGGATGCCTGGTTCTGCTGAGGCCAGGGTTTATCAGAATTAATGAAAAGGCCGATTACCATGCCTGTGGACAGGGGTCCTCTTCAGATGGCCTCCCTGCCCCTATCCTGCCCCATGCTCCTTGGAGTCCTATTGAAAATATAGACGAGAAGCCATTTGAACCAGGGTTGCTATGGCACCAGCAGCCTGGCTCCGTGGTCCCTGGGTTTCGTTCATACTCACGAAGGGACTCTTTTCACACATCAGACCCTTTGTGTGGGCAGAATGTTTTCCAGCAAAGCTCACCTGAACCGGTTCCCTTTATATCCCCCAGTGCTCAAGTTTGTAGCTTCATTATCATAACTGTTTGTGTCCACACGGCCATTGCTATGGTGACCAAAACCATTGGACCCTTTGCCTTAGAAATCTACAGTGCAAAGGCGCTGACCAGAGTCAGGCTTGCTAAGTCAGTCTGGGCTTAGCTCTTTAAACCCGAATCAAATGTTCAATGGCTCGTCACTTTTGCTGAGGATAAAGTACCTACACCTTAATTCAGTCCATGAGGCCCTGCAGGGAGCTCCTGCATCTCTTAGAGACCCACCCCTTTCCCCCACTCCCACACAACTCCAACACCCTACCCCGCCCTTCCTGCTCCCTCGGCACAGTCTTTGCGTCTGCAACCTACCCTGGGGGGGGGGAAATGTTCTTCCCGCCCCTCACCACCTAGACCCCTGTAGACATCCTCTTTCCGAAAACCAGGGTCACTTTCCAGATAAGGCCTTCTGGCCTCTCTGAAGAGAGGGACACCAACTCTCATCTACCCTTGTTTTCTAGCTTCCAACCCTGTCTCTCGGACTTCCTTTGTTTACGGCCGTGAGACCGCTTGATTGACGTCTACCTCCCTCTACGGAGCTAGCAGTCAGGCAGAGGATTGTGTGGTTCCCACCCTTCCCCCAGGGCCAGAGAATGGGTACCGGCCTTGAGAGTGTCTTTGGGATAAAGAAAAAAATAGAACTGGTGCGTGCCTGTGTTCTCAGCTCTCAGAGGCTGAGGCAGGAGGCTGCAAGTAAGACTTGGGGGTGGATGTTGGGGGTACTGAAATTCAAATTTTGACCTTTTAAGAATATCTTCGGGGGGCTAGAGAGATGGCTCAGAGGTTAAGAGTACTGACTGCTCTTCCAGACGACCCGGGTTCAATTCCCAGCACCCACATGGCAGCTCACAACTGCCTGTAATTCCAGTTCCAGGGACCAGACACCCATGACAAAACACCAAAACACATTTTTAAAAAAAGTATTTTAACACTTTTTTGAGAATTTCATACAATATATTTTGTGACTTTTTTTTTTTTTTAAAAATTGCCGAACGGTGAAGTGGAGTTGACAGCTTCTTGTCTGTCTGGGTGCTGAAAGGGCAGTTTAGAGATGCGGGTGCAGACCTTAAAGGTGCTGAATGAGAAAGTGAGTTGAGCGGAGAAATGGGACACAGGCTAGTCCCCTGCTGGTCCCTGTGACTTTACCGGAGCGCAGGAGGCTGGAGATAGATTAAGGGTGGTGGTAGGGACCCTCTTCGTTTGGTTTCCCGGAGCAGATAGTAGTACAGTGCAGGGTTGAGTGGAAAGTCAGCTACGCAGGCTTCATCCCAAGATGAAGAAGAAGAAGTCAGAGAAGAGTGGTAGGAGCGTGAGGCTGCCAGTCCGAAGTGGGCTGGCCAGCTACGTGCCACAAGGGCCAGCAAGTTCCTACTCAGAACAAGAGCCAATGCAGAGAGCTAGTGTCTTCTACAGTAGGGAGGGTCCTAAGAAACGGAAATTTTATCCAGGAAGAGGGGTAGAAATGGGCAGAATGGCTGCAGAAGAGAGCAACTTTCTCCAGGACAAGGGCGGCCATTAGCAGTTGTGAGAGCTTACCCCACAGCTAGCTCTACACACAAACCTAGCTGGTGTTTCACCCTTTCTAGAATTCTACCGCTGCAGAGAGAAGCAGAAAGTTTATCTCTCAAGCTCTTACCCAAACTGCAAACAAACCTCTTTCCATTCACCACTTCTTGCCTCCTAGACTTCTGACGAAGCCTGCAACAGTACCCCTGAGACCCCTGAGTCACTGAAGCCTGCCTCCAAACATCCGTGGGTGAGGGTCACTCATCGTAGGATGACTTAGGTGCCCCCGGTCTGCTCCAGCAGCAGAGCGGGGACAGAACATGGCACTATGCTCTGACCAGGGTACACTTGAGGGGCAGAGAACAGAGGTTTCCCTTTGGGTATAGTACCATCCAGGGTGGGGACATTTTCATTACTCATGACTAGAGTGGTAACAAGTAACCAACAAGCTTAAAGGAAATAGCCGGGCAGTGGTGGCGCACACCTTTAATCCCAGCACTCGGGAGCCAGAGGCAGGCGGATCTTTGTGAGTCTGAGGTCTACAGAGTGAGTTCCAGAACAACCAGTGCTTCAGCTGCCTTCTCAGTTCTCTTCATGTGTGAAAATCAGGCCTCAGGCATCACTATCCTCCAGCTACTGCAAGGTCTATAACCAGTTTACTTTGTTTCCAGACGTTAAAAAGAGATAAATTCACAAAACAGATTTCAGTGCAATTTAATAGTATTCCTTTCTTTAAAGGAACTTGTTTTACAACAACTGCTCTCAGTAATCAACCGCCTGTGTCTCATGGTAAATGGCTGGGCAGAAAGAAAGTGTAGCCGGGTGGTGGGGGCGCACACCTTTAATCCCAGCATTCGGGAGGCAGAGGAAGGTGGATCTCTGTGAGTCTGAGGTCAGCCTGGTCTACAAAATAAGTTCCAGGACAGCCAGGACGGTTACACAGAGAAACCCTGTCTCAAAAAAATCAAAGAAAGAGAGAGAGAGAGAGAGAGAGAGAGAGAGAGAGAGAGGGAGAGGGAGAAAGGAAGAGTAAAGGTTATGTAAGATTTGAGAATAAGAAAGCTTAACTTCTGAGGGTCTAAAAAATGTTTTATAAATTTGTAAAGTTGTGAGAATATAATTTAAACTGAGTGGTGGTGGCACATACCTTTAATCCCAGCACTTCGGGAGGCAAAGACAATCTCTGTGAGTTCAAGGCCAGTCTGGTCTACAGAGTGAGTTCTAGGATACTCACAGCTACACAGAGAAACCCTGTCTCGAAAAAAACAAACACTAAAACCCAACCACTCCAAAAGAATATGATTTAAGATATATGTAAAAATTAAAATTTCTGACTTCTTTGCCTCTCTGTGCTATTGTTATACTAAGACCCTAAAAGTTCAGAGTTTTAGCATTAACCAGTGGAGTTCTGATAAGATATTTATCCAGCTCTAGGAAGCAATGACTTCTACTACCTTAGTCACAAGCTCAAGATTTTAAATTTTCTTTGGTTGTCTTCTAACTGTAGACTTAGAAGTGCTTCTCATGATGCTAAAAGCATCTGTTATACACTTATATACATCAAGTTTTCTGGATAGAGTAAAGTATGTTCATAATTTTGACCTAACCATTTTGGGTTCACAACTTCTACTATGACTCAAAAGTGTGAGTCTACAGCCTACAGTGTGGGGTTCAGGACAAATTACAAACAGTGGTGAAACTAACATACCTGAAATTTCTGCCTTTTTTGTAAACTTAAAAAATTCTTGTAAGCTTCAGGAAATCAACTTAAATCCACCCCTCATAGGTCAAATGAACTCCAGATAGGTAGTCAATCAACAGCCCATTTCCTTACCTGCCTATTCCGCTTATCTTGAGGGTGGAATCTCTTCGGGTTGCTTAGCCTTGGTACTCACCTTCCCCAACAACCAGGAACAAGGTCTAAAAGTTTCAAATGCACACCTAAGGGGGAAAAAAAGTTACCCTGAACTCCTTAATTTTACCTTCTGTCCTTAATATAACCATAACCATAACCACAAACCCTAACCCTAACCCCTAAATTCTAACTCCTAACCATAAACCCTAACCCTAACCCTAACCCCTAACCTCTAACCTCTAACCCTAACCCTAACCCCTAACCCTAAGGTAGGTTATTGTTCCAGTAACCCTCCAGTTCTAGGTGTTCCCTCAAAATCTATGTCCCAGATAGTTTCAAAATGGCTAGCTCCAGGTGGTCAAGCCTCACAGATTCTGCCTGTACTTCCCTAGCCCTAGCTGGTCCTACAGAGCCTAGAAAGTGGGTGAAATGCCTGTTCTTCCAAAACTTGGCCAGTGCAGTGGCGATGTCAGTGGAGCAGCAGGTAGCAATTGAAGTTCAAGGTGTCACCCACCAGGAGCAAACT